ATTTTGCAAATGAGAAACTGAAGCAGAGAGAGGTAGCATGAAATAAGCACACACAGAAAGCTAGGCTTTCAAAAACCAATATTACATATGCAGCATGCCGCAATGCTAGGTCTAGGAATCGATCCCAAAAAATATGCTGGCAAAAGTCTGAGCATTTATACACAAGACCATTTGTTATAGCACTCTTTGTAATAGCAAATGGCTACAAACTACCCAAATGTCCATCAACAGGGGAGTAAGTGAATAAATCATGGTACATTTATACAATGGAGTACTATGCAGCTGTAAAAAGGAACACGAGCTAACTCTATACACTGTCATAGAGTGAACTTCAGAATATATTGTTAAATGAAAGAAGCATATATGGTATGCTACCACTTATATGAGAAAAATAGGATATAAATACTATAAATATGCATATATGCTTATATGTTTTAATTAAAAAAAAACTTTTCAAAAAAATGAATACCTATGAACAGGGAGAGACTAGAGTGGAGGGGACAGATATAGAAGCTAGGTTGACCTGAATATACTTTATTTTGAAGATTTGGCTATGGAAAGTTTTGAAAGTTCTACATAATTATTAAAGCAAAAGTTAATTTTAAATGAAGTAATCCCTGAAACTTGAAAGCAAATTGAAACAGATGTATCAAACTTTGAATTAAATTGAGAATGCAAACACTCAGAAAGTAATTATTTTAAATGACATTAGATGCCGTCATTTGGTTATACATTCCCATCAGGACTCAAAGGGCAAGAAGAACTGAAAAAAAAAAGTTTTTAATCTTAAAATATTTTGGTAATCATATTATTATTAAAAACTGTTATTTTATCTATCATAGGATAAAGCAAATAAATCTAATGTTATTGCCATTGGAAACCAAGACTCTCAGCCTAAGGAAAAAAAATACAAATATAAAATCAAAGAAGTTAAGAAAAAACTCTGTAATCCAAATTGAAGTTGAAAATAGCAGTGTAAACTCAAGGCCTCTTAACAATTCTGATTTCTATTCACTGAAGAGGCCTAGAAACAATTACCAATGCAGTAGCTATGAGCACGCACCCCTACAGAAAAGACAGTGAAATATCTAAATACCATTTCCTGTGAAAGGAGCAGGACTCTTTGAAGAAGTGGGTGATTCAAGATCTGGAGCAAAAGGAATGTACAAGATGAACCTGGAACATCTTGCCATTCCAGAAAGTAAGTAAGGTACAGAGTCACGTCAAAAGGGCTCAGAATCGGGGCCGGCCGAGTGGTGCGTTGGTTAAGAGCTGGCTTGGGACGCCAGAGGGCCCCGGTTCGGATCCCACATATGAGGGCCAGTGACACTGCCCTCTACAGCTAAGATGCTGAACAACAGCTGGACCTGGAGCTGGGCTGCCGTGGGTCACAGGTGACGGAGTAGGCTGCAGTCCCCTGCTGCAGTGGGCTGCCATAAGTTACCATGTGCAGCCAGCAGCCAGCATGAGCGGCCAGCAGCCGCCGTGAACGGCCGTCCAGAAGCCGGCAACTGATCTGCCTCACCCGGGAAGAGCGCAATGATGGTGCCAGCTTGGGCCAATCACTCAAGATCTTCAACAACTAGACTGAAAAACAAAACAACAGCAACTTGTCTGTACCCCTTCCCCCGATTTCCCAACGCTGTTGTCCTCCCTCAATTCCCAAAAAAAATCTTTTTTTAAAAAAAAAAGGGCTCAGAATCCAATTTGAAGAGGCTCTAGCTGGCCAAAGATGAGACAATTTGAGCATCAATAAGGCTTAAAAATCAAGCAGGTTTAAAATCCATGTTTATAATGATATCCAAAAGAAGAAAGAGAAAGAGAGAGAGAGAGAGAGAGAGAGAGAGAGAGAGAGCAGGAAGGAAGAAAGAGAAAGAAAGAAAAAGAAAACCTCAACTGGTTCCCTTTCAACATGTTAGGGAACTGACTCATCATTTGGAAAATTGCTAAATAAAGGAAAAGAATGAACCATTTTTTTCCACTATTTCTATATGAACTGAATCTCATAAGCAAATAATTGGTTAGAGAAAGTTTCTCTTGACAGGAGTATTTCTGCTAGTAAATGAAACCATTTTTTAACAAATTAGAATTTTGCATTTTATATTTTGCAACCTTTAACCAAACAATAAATTTAGGCCACAATCATCAATGTCTAGGAACTTCACAGAGAGACAAATATACATGGTATGCCTCCTGGTAGAGATATATGAAGTCACCTGTGAAGTATTCTTGCTAAGAACACATTTAACCTGACTATTAAGATACTAGTCACATTAAATAAAGGATCATGATACCACAGGGATGCAGTCAGCAAAATCCAGAAGGTAGGAAACCCTACAAGACAAATACTTCATTTCTACAATAAATAAATTGAAAACAGAGCAAGGGATGCTTTTTCCAAGCCCCATCTATTCTACCTCCCACGCTTAGAGAAAGAGATACAGAGGGAAAACCCATAGATTAAAGACACTTAAGAGACATATTAGTCAGTGTAATGTATGGACCTTGTTGGGCTCTTGATTCAAACAAACACATTATATGTTTCAAAATTATGCAAAAATTGGGTATATTTGAACACTGACTGGATGTTTGATAACATTAAGAATTTGTTGTTGATTTTTTACATGTAATACCGGTAACGTAGTTACATGTAAAGTTTTTATCGTTTGGAGAGACATAAGGAAATGTTTACAGATGAAATGATATGATGCCTGATATTTGCATCAAAATAATCCAATAGAGGAGTGAGGTAAGTGGGGCACATAATGAAATCTGTTTATCCATAAGTCAATAGCTGTGGAAGCTACATGATGGGTACAGGCAGGTTCATTACATTATTCTCTCTACTCTTGCATATACTTAAAATTTTCAAGAATAAAAAGTTTTAAGGAAAGTAACATTATTTCTGTTCTTTCTACATTTCTGCTGTAAAAACCACCTCCAAAGCCAAAGGTACTATCTGAGCCTGAGAAAGGTGATGGGATGGAAGTCTTTGTACAAGAAAAAGAAATACATTGGTTAATACTTCAAACTATTTTTTAAATCCAAGGTGACATTCATATAATATAAAATGAGCCATTTTAAAGTATACAGTTCAGTGGCATTTAGTACACTCACAAGGTTGTACAACCACCACCTTTGTCGGGTTCCAAAACATTTTCATTCCCCCAAAAGGAAAACCCATACCCATTAAAAAATCACTCCTCATTCCCCCACTTCCTCAGCCCCTGGCAAGCCCCTATCTGCTTTCTGTCTCTATGGACTTATCTATTCTGGATATTTCATGTAAATGGAATCATGCAATGATGTGACCTTTTTTTTTTTAAGATTTTTATTGGGGAATTGGGGGATGGGAACAGCACTGGGGAATTGGGGGAAGGGGGACAGACAAGTTGCTGTCCTTTTGGAGGGCAGTGTCACTGGCCCTCATATGTGGGATCCGAACCGGGGCTCTCTGGCGTCCCAAGCCAGCTCTTAACCAACACGCCACTCGGCCAGCCCCTGATGTGACCTTTTATTTCAAACTATGTCCAGCCACACATTTACTGAGCTCCATCATGTACCAGGCACTAGCTAAGTGCTAGAGGTAAGATGGTGGAGAAGACAGATGTGAGCACTGCCTTCAAAGGAGCCTATGAGACAACCACTATGCAAATAAATACAAACAATTAACCCTCTAATTACACACATAGAAATGCTGCAGAGTTGAAGAACACCATCTGTGGGGAAGGTAAAACAAACAGGGACTGATCTAGTTGGAGGAGTCAGGGAAGACTTCTCTAAAGAGGTGCCATGTATGCTGAGCCTTAAGGAATTACTCGGGGTAGTCCACAAGGAAGGAGGAGGAACAACCTTGCTCGGCCAGGTTGGGGGGTAGGGACAATGGAAAGTCTAATCAGAGGAGTCATGAAACTTGATTTGCTTTTGCTGTTTTTTTATTGACTAAAGTCCATAGTTTACATTAGGGTTCACTCTTTGTGTTGTGCAGTTCATTGGGCTGTGATATATGTTTAATGACATGAATTCACCATCAGAGTATCATACAGAATAGTTTCACTGCCCTAAAAATACCCTGTTCATCCGTCCCCTGTCCCCCTCGACTGCTGGCAAACCACTGATCTTTTTACTGTCTCCTATAGTTTTGCCTATTCCAGAATGTCATATAGTTGGAATCATATAGTGTGTGGCCTCTGATGGTTTCTTTCACTTAGCAATATGCATTTAAGCTGCCTCCATGTCTTTTCACAGCTTCATAGCTCATTCTTTGCGTGTGTGTGTGTGTAGGGGGGGCGGCGGTTAACATATACATAACATAAATTTTACCACTCTCACTATTTCCAAATGTACAGTTCAGTGGAATTAAGTATATTTCCTTGTTTGTACAACCATCACCACCAACCATCTCCAGAACTTAACTCATCCCTTTTTATTGCTGAATAATATTCCATTGTATGAATGTATCACGATTTGTTTATCCATTCACTGCTTGAGGGATGGTTTGTTTTTAAATGAGACCACCAGCTACCACGTGGAGGACGAATTGGAGGAGGGCTAAGAATGCAGGCAGGGAAGTTGGGGAGATGGCTAATACTGTCATCCAAGCAAGAGGTGAGAGTGGCTTCAACTGGGGTGGTCTCAGTGCAGTGGAGAAAAGGGGGGAAATATGAGAGAATGAGTGGGGCGGAACTGGCAGGACTTGAGGACAGATTAGATGTGAGTGTGGAGGGACAGCGAGGAGTTAAGCATGAGGTTCAGCTTTGTAGCTTGGGCGACTGAGTCCGTAAATATTGGTGTCATCGGCTGAGATGGGGAAATGAAAACAGAAGGAGAGGTTTGGGAGAAGACCACAAATTCAGCTTTGGATCTGATGTTTTGTGTTTAAAGTGTCTGAGAGACAGTTAGGTGGAAATGTGAAGTGCCCCATTTAGCAATATGGACCTGGACCTCAGACCTCTTTCCCCGCCCTTACCAAACAACCCCCCCCACCCCCACTGGCCTTAATTCTATTCCTGAACAGACCAAGTTTTCTCCAGCCTCAGGGCCGAAACATTGCCGTTCCCTCTGCCTGGAACACTTTCCCCCCACATGGCCACATAAATAGCTCCTTCTTAGTATTCGGGCCTCAGGTCAAATATCACCTAATCAGAGACTCCTTCCTCAGGCGCAGACTAAAGGCAACACAAAGGAGTGAGTTAGGGGCCCACGTTGGTCAGATTTTGCTGCAACAATACTGCATAAAAAAATAAAAAAAATTAAAACTTCCAGAAACTTCCAGTGCTTAAAACAGTAAACATTCATTTCTTACCCAGAGGTCTGTGGGTCAGCTAGGGTTCATCAGGGCTCACCTGAACTGGGCTGGGCTGGGCTCCAGGGTCCAGGTGGAGGGCAGGACTGCCTTGTGCATCTTCCATTCTGAATCCAGGCCGGAAGAGCCCCACTGTTGGGTACTTGTGGTTCTAAAGGCTGAGGACAGTTGTTCAAGAAGCACTCGGTGTCTTGGAGCTGGCCCCTGTCACTTCCACACATTCTTTTGGCCAGAGCAAGTCACATGGCTACAAATCAACATCAACAGAGTGAGGAAGTATATTCCTCCCACGGTGAGGAGGGCTGGGGGAAGTAAATATTTGCTCAACAAAAAGCAATCTACCACAGAACCTAATCCTTTTTTTCCTAGATGGCCATGTTTATTGAGTACTGCCCCCACACTCTTAGGAAATACCACCTTGTTTGAATGAATGAATGAATGAATGAATGAGAGAATGTACCTTTCAAGGCAGGAAGATTCTGCTCTCTTCAAATAAGGAACCTGAGGCTCCTAGAAGGGAAGCGACTCGCTCAAGGTCACAGAAACCACCTGTGGCAAGCCCCACCTGTCTGGTTCCTACGCACAGTGAGTGAGGTGGGGAAATGCTATTCTCTGGGCAGGGCTGAGGGTGCTCTATCACCCATTCTTCCCTTTCTCTGAGGCTTGGTTGACATGCATAGAATCAGGGGGCAAGTGCACCAGAGGGTCTCTTTGCTGATTCAACCTCAGGTCTCCCTCCAAAGCCAAGTAGGACTTGGATTTGTTATTTCCGGGTCCCAGAGCCCCGAATGTTAAGTGTGTGCTGAGCGTATGAGTCATCAGTACGTTGGTGACTTTAATTGCTGATTAAGAGTTCTGTCACATTCTGTGTCCCACCCCAACTTTGCCCTCCCCGAAGGTACAGACAGTCATCTCTACTTCTTCAGAGTGAGGCACCCAGCGGAGCTCAAAAACTGGGGAGGGCATGTCTCAGATACACAGTGGCCCCTCTTTCGAAACAGGATTACTTAGACTTCAGCTCTGTTTTATAGCTCTAGGTAACATTTGAACAGTTCACAAGGAGCCTAAATTGCTTCTGTAATCAGAGAGGAGAAATCAGCCTGGAAATATTTTAAAGTTCCCACTAGTGTGTAAAAAACAATCACTTGCTGGTTGGTTGGGAAACTCCTAAAAATCATCGTGCTTCAGAATCCTACTCCCACACATTGTTAGAAGCCTGTTTTCAGAAACTCTGAGTTAATTCCCAACCACTCCTTCAGACAGCAAGCCAGTGAGTACCTACCATCCGCCAAGGGCTAAGTGAGCCACCATGGTGACGAGTGACAAGCTGGGGAACAGGTGGTAATCAAAGTCAGTGAGGTCTGCATTCAAACCATAGCTGACATAGATGGAGCTGGCCCATGGGCCAGACACCGTGCTAAGTGTTCCACATGGATTAACACGTTTAATCCGCACAACAAGTTGATGTGGTAGGAGCTATAATTATCGTGTTTTACAGCTGTGGAAACTGAAGCGCAGAGAGACGAAGGAACTTGCCCAAGGTCACAGAACTAGCAGACGGTGGAACTGACATTTGATCCCAGAGCCTGTGCTCTTGACCGTGACCCCACAGTACCCCCCACTAGGAATCTGCCCAAATTCCACAGGCAGGAAGTGGCAGAATCAGAATTCAAATCAAGCAAGGTTCATCAGCTTCCAAAGAACACGCTCCTAACAGATACAAAGATGTCCGTCTCCTTTCTAGCCCTCCCCATTTCTGAGTCCAACACCAACACCACACCAGTGACCTGGGTCACCTCTCTCAGCCTCAGTGTCCATGGCTAAAATGGGAAGAACACTGCTTACCCCAGGGAGCTGATGAGGCTTGTGTGAGAGGACAGTTCCTCCCATGGAACGTGGTAGGTACTCAGGTAGGATATACCTATGTTCCTCCTGCTTTCCAGGAGCTCGGTGCCGCTGGCCAAGTGGGCACGGGAGCAGGCCCATCCCATGAGCTCTACGTCATAGGGCTGCAGTAGGTGCTATGGGGCAGAGGCTGGGCACAGGATGAAAAGTCAAGGGTTACTGTGTATCCAGAAAATTCAGCTGAGGGAACACTGGAATAAACAACCCCCGGAGGGGTGGGGGGAAGCTTGGTTCGTCATCTTTCCTGTTTTCCCAGACTGGCCCAGTCCCAAAGCCTCTTCTTAATCTTGTCAGGATTTTGGCCCTCTGCCCCAGGAAGGCGCTGCCAGGAGGCCCACAGTGAGCCAAGTCTTCAAGGAAGTGATGTCTTCTGTGGGTCAAGAGAAGGGAAGAGGCTTTCTGGGAGCGAGGCGAAGGCAAGGATAGAACAAGAGGAGGGATCAACAGGCAGTCCCTTCCTTGAACCAGTGGAGAAACTGAGGCTTAGAACAAGCAAGTTTTATGAATTTGCTGGTGGCAGGGTTGGGACACGTAGCCTAGTCCTCGAATAACTTCATATCCGTTCAGCGTCGTTTGTTCTAATGTTGATGAGATGCCATAGGAACTTAACTATTGTTTATATCAATCAGCATATGGTATATTGGTTTTATTATATGTCATTTCACCACAGTTCCAAGAACCTATCAAAGATGTTAAGTGAGGATTTACTGTATACTCCTGCTTTCCAGTCCAGAGTTTTCTCCTCCACAATACCAAATGCTTACCCGCTTCCTTCTGCAGGGCTACCCAGGCAGGAGGAGTCGACTTCACTCCCCCTTTTCCACAGCTTTTTCTAGCAACATCGCTACGTCACTGCACTGGAAAGCTGGAAAACACAGGTGTGGGTCCTGTGGGTACTGCAAAGATCTTGGTGGGCTTGATCACGTAGGAAATGGGGATGATAGACCCTCTGAAACAAAGAACCAATATTCCCTGAGTGCCTATTGTGTGCCTAGACAGTGCCAGGTACATTCAACATGCTACCTCTTCTAATCAACACACTAACTCAGAGAAGTAGGTCACATTCCCATTTTGCAGATGAGGAACCTGGGGCTGATAGGAGGGATGTTTCCTGCCAACTCTACCTCTACCCGGTAACTGTCTTCTGAGCTCCAGACCTGGCTATCCACTCTGTCTTGGGCATCCCCATTTGTATACCCCACACACTTCTCAAACTCACCTTGAACGATCCTAAACTTATCACCTTCCCCTAACCACAGACCACTGCTTTCCCATCACAGCCCCACTACTCAGCAGCCAGGATATCAACCTTGACACAACCCTCTCGCCTGGTCCCATCTCCAAGCAGCAACCTGGACCACTGGTCCCACCTTCAACTCTATTTCCCAGACATTGGATTTCCTTAATTCCAGGGTTTGTAACGTAGTGCGGACTTTTATCATCTCACACCTAGGTGACTCCCATGGCTTCTGAATAGGCCATTTTGTCTCTAGTTTAGCCCCACAGTCATCTATGCCCCCCCCCCGCTCCCCGAACGCCAGGGTAATTTTTCTAAAATGCACATCTTCCGAGTCTTGCCCAACTGAAAATGCTTCAGTGGCTTCTCAATGCCCTCAGAAGAAACCCCCTTCCCTGGGCTTCCCAGGCCCCCTAAATCTTGGCCCTTGCTGTCCACTCTGGTCTCAGGTTGGGTCACTCCTTACCATCTGCCCCCCAAGCTCAGACCTGGAATACTCACAGTTCTTCTTTGGCACATGCTATTGTGTCTGCCTCCCCCTGGCTAACTCCTTCTCATCTTCAGGTCTCAGCTTAGTCACCACTTCCTGGCCACCCTCTGTGAAGCTTAGGAGCTATCATGCCAGTGAATTCCCACAGTTCCCCTGTACTTCCTCCTCTGAGCTACCCGCCCCCTTCCTCTCACATGGCCCTGTAGAGGCCAACAAAGCTTTCACAACAGGCCTGGAATGTTGGAACAACACGCATCAATGGGAACATAATGCATGCCACATGCGAAACTATAAATTTTCTAGTAGCCACATTTTAAAAAGTAAAAGAGCAATACATTTAAATAATGTATTTTAACCCAATATTTCAAAAATAGTATTATTTCAATATATAACCAATATAAAGATTATCAATATTTTGTTTTCTTCTTGTACTAAGGCTTCAAAATCCGGTGAGTTGATTTTTGTGTGTTTTTTTTTCTTTCTATTCACAGGTATTTTATCCTCACAGCAAATCTCAGTTTAGACTAGCCACATTTCAAGTACTCAGTATCACCATGTGCTAATGGCTACAAGATTAGACAGTGCAGTTTTAGCGGACGCTTGAAGCTCACTGGCCTGTGTACTGTTCTGGGGGACACTGATTCTGTCATAGGCATTCTGTAGAAAAAAGGATTCTAAGTCAAATAAGTTTTGAAAACATTGACAAAATGAAACAGGGTTTTTATGCTTCAGGACCTCCCAGAGTCTTATCTGTACCAATGTACAATGAGATACTAGAAACTGACCACAGAGTTTGTAGCATTTACGCAACTCTTTCAAGCTCAGAGCTTATTTTCATAAAGCATTGCTTGGGATTAGTATCCAGTGGAATGTTTCTTGGTAGATGCTGGTTTAGCTACATCCCTGACTCAAGTCAATCCTGGTTCCCCATAGGAAGAACGTGGGGTTCAGGGAGCCCACCTCATGTGCATCTGAGCCTGGCACAGAGGAAGCACCCAAAACCCGATCATTGAATTGGCTGATTCTGGGAAGATGCCGAGGGCAGGACTAGAATTAGTAAGTGAAAACTGCAGCAGATTTGAGCTCAAACAAGAAAGTGTGTGTGTGTGTGTGTGTGTGTGTGTGTGTGTGTGTGTGTGTGTGTAACAGTTTAAAGATAACTTTCCAGATCTGTCTGGGAAATGCAATAGGTAGCCTTTTAAGATGATGATTTCTCCATCACTAGGAGTAATCAAGGCTGGAGTTCTGTATGGTGGGGCAAGGTCTTCCCCAGAGTCTCTAAAGTCTTTTCTTCAGAAAAGGGATGAGAGGATAGGCTAAGCTAGGCTAGGCTAGGCTAGGATAGGATAGGACAGGATAGAATAGGATAGGGAAGGGAAGGAGCAGTGGGCATGGGAACTTGAACTTTTGAGGAAGTGATCAGAACATGCAGACATGTTCTGGGTCCTTTACTAAGAACACACTTTGAAATTCTGAAGGCCCAGTAGAAGATCAGTTTATAACCAAAGCCCCTTTGAGGCTACAGTTCCTTGGTTCAATTCAGAAGATTTTTGGTGCATTTTATAGGCAGTCAACATCTGGTCAATGATAAATTGAATTCATCAATCATCAATCAATCAAAATGTATGTCTGGGGGGTGGACAAGAGGATGGTCTGTTTCTTCTAAAATTGTTTTTGTGTGACGAAACCAGGCAAGACCAATCTGTGCTGTTAGAAGCCATCAGGATAGTGGTTACCTTCAGAGTAATGACAGGAAGGAAACACAAGGGGGGCTTGGGGGGGTGGGGGTGGCCTGGCAAATTCTGCTTCTTGATTGGGTGCAGGCTACACAGATTGGTTCAGTTGATGAAAATTCATCAAGCTGCCTCCTTTTGATATGTGCACTTTTCTGTATGTATATGGCATGTTGCTAAACAGTTTTAGAAATTGTTTCTGTGAGGATATAGAACTCTACCACACTAAGAACAAAAGTGTGATTGTGATTGACCGAACTAAAATTATCAGACTGGTCTGAGATTTGAGCTGAGGAGGAAGAGGTTAACCAATAGCCAGGTGTTTCTTGTGTAGGGTCTGAACAGCAGTTGTGCTGCCTCAGAGGGCAACTCAAGGTTAGCCATGCTTCAGAGAGGCCCCTAACTATTCATAGACAGGCAGTAGATAGATTTGGATCAATCCTCTTAGAGACTCCAGGTGTACGATCAGTAAGATACCTGCAAGTATCTGGAAGCTGGAGCCTTTAAAAGTTGAGTGATGTGTCCCCATGCCATGCATGGTACCCAGCACAAAGTAGGTGCTCAGCTAGGTGTCCCCTCCCTTCCTCTTACCTGGATTTCAGGTACGGCGGTCCCAGGTGTGTGGACTGAGAAAAAGTCAAAGGCATTCTGTAGAAAAAAAGGATTCTAAGTCCAATAAGTCTTGAAAACATTGACAAAGTAAAACGGGGTTTTTATGCTTCTGTCAGAAGGGGCTGGGGTGCCCCACTTAGGGCCAGCAAAGGTCTCAGGGGCTGGCACAGCTGGGCTGAGTGGAAAGGGAAACGAAACCCTTGCATGGCTCACATGTGCTCAAGTAACTGCAAAGAAGCCACCTGTGGTCAGTTGACGGGGTGGATGGGGGGGGAGAACAGAGGGCTTCAGAGAAGTGGGGGAGGTGATAAAGGAGGTGCATTTCAGGCGATAGAAGGGGGGAGGCAAAAAAAAACACCCCAGCAGTTAAGAATAACGGAAAACATACCCCGGTGGGGAGGGGGCTGAGGTAGGTTTCAAGTGGGAAAGGTCAAAGAAAAGAGCAGTTTCGAACAGGCAACACACCATGGTGCCCAGGAAAGAGACCCCGGACTTAGCGCTATGCAGTATTGGCAAAACACCTAACCAAACAGCTCTTTCATCTGTAAAACCAGGACAATAATAGTTCCTTCCTCCTGAGGTTGTTGAGAGGGTGAAATCACTTGATGCAAGAAAAATGTGGTACAAATCTTGCAGCTGCTGTTAATAATATTGGTAAAAATATGGCAGGGAGAAGCTTCTGCTTCTGAAAATGGACCAGATGGACTGATCTGGGAGCCAACAACCGCCAGTACGCTAGAGGGGAGAGGAAAAGGCGAAAAGCCAACTAGAGGAGGAGTTCTTTATTGGGGTGCACGCAAATTCCAATGCAAAATGCAATATTTACAAGGATATGTATTTTTTTGAAGGGAGAAGGCCCGTAGCCCCGCATCAGTTTCTCAAAGAGCCCCCTCCCCGCTCCACCAATAGTTTAAGAATTGCTGATCTAGAGAAATGAAGGGCCAAGGGCTGAGAGAGGGGAGCAAATGAGACAAGAGGCCTACCATCATCCACAGATGGAGGGAGCCACCTCCATGAACCTAAGTCATGGGTTTGGGGGATGGAGGAGAGTCTAGAAAGAAGAGGCAAAGGAGAGAGAGTTGGTTGGAATGAAGACCCGGAGAACCAAGCCAACTCACAATGGGGGTGGGGTGAGGGTGCGGTTAGGGGTTCAGCTTAATGATCACTGTGGTCCAGAGAAGGCTGGGCATGTGGATGGATGGGCAGCCCAACCCAGCAGCCGAAGATTGGCGAATTAGTGAGGCCAACTGCAGATGGGGAGGGTGAGAGGAATAAAGAGACCTTGACTGTATGTCTGCGGAACTGTGAAGGGATTGAGTGGAAAAATTCTTTCCGTTTGCCTGGTGTGATGGGAAAAAACTGTCAGCCAGTGTACAGTTCTCCACCTGAAAAATGCCTGGCTCTGTGGGTGAGAAAACACAAGAAGGGCATTCTGCCAGGGGGAGGAACTCTTAACTGTTGTTCCGTGGCTATTGTAGGGACACCCCAGGGGTGGAGTGGGGTGATCAGAGACTTTGCTAACAGTTGTGGGTTTGTGTCCTGATTTTGGCCATTTCATTCGTTTATTTATGAAAGAAATATTTCCTAAGCACCAACTATGTGCCCAGCTTTCCACATGCAACAAGGAGCAAAAGATGGTCCTGGACCCCAGATTCTTACATCTCGTTGAGTCAATTGACAATGACAGTGAATGATAGGGACATGCAGCTGGTTGCTATGGGAACAGAGAAGCACACTCATACTTCTCCTAGCTTCAGTCTCCTATCTGCAAAATGGGAATCGTGTCGCTCACTCTCAGGAGTTTCCTGGCATATCCCAGGCCTCTGCTTGTCACATGATAGCAGCTCATTGCAGCAATACCACCATAGCTAATGTCTGTTCTGCTGAATTCCTTCCCTGGCACCCGCAGCTGAGTGGTAGAGACACATTCTGTAGGGCTGGACTCTGTCCTATGGGAGGAGAATATCCCCAGGGACCTGGATAAGTCATCCTGAAAAACGAGTTCTCTGAGTCAATCCTTATCCTGGAGGTGAGGTTTGAAGCAGCCCATGGCCTCTTAGAGGGCTGACGCCTAATTCCTGGAATATCAGCCCAGCTGTGCTAGCACTTTGTCAAAGGGATTGGGACGACCCAAAAGGCCCTTAATTAGAAATTGGCAGACCGTCTTATTAGCGTGTCGTGTCCATCATAGAACAAACAAATAAGCAAACAAAAACCCAGGGTCCTCTAGTTACTGCAACATGTTCCTCCTCCTGTTTATAGCTAAATCGCTGAACAACTTGTCAAAACTTGCTATCCTCCAATTCCTCGCCTTCTGTTTACTTCCTAACTCAGGCCCATCCCTAAACTAAGGCTCTCCTTCCAGGCCCTCCCAAATGACTTTATCTAGTCTAATTATTCAGGTATCATCCGATGCCCACAATTTCTAGTCCTGTCCCACCCCCCACCCCAAGCTCAAACCCATGTATCCAACTGCCAACTGGACATCTTGACTTGGCTAACCCACAGACAAATCAGACAGAAATATACAGAGCTGAACTCATCACCTTTTCCTAAAACAGGTCACCCCCAAGTGTTCCCTCCTTTGCAAAGGGCGTGTCCATCCATATCCTTGATTCCTCCCCTCTTCCTTTCTCTGACATACATACTTGGTCACGAATATGACAACCCTATGTCATGAACATCCCTCAAACGCATACACTGTTCTCCATTCTTGCAGCTTTTTTGCTGGTCAGGGCCATCAGCACCATCA